TTCAAATTCTTTCCAAGCAATCAGACCATAAGCACCTGCATTAACTAATTTATTTAGTAATTATACAACTGAGGGAAATTATTGAAAACATAAATAATTAACTGCATTAATATAAGGGTAAATTACACTTTACCCCTTGTACTCTGCCCGAGAGTACTTTACCCCGTCGTACTCTCAATTTTGGCATCAGAGTCAAAATCGAAAAAAATGACGGATAGGATTGTATTGGGAAATTGTATAAGTACAAGGGGGAATCGATGAAATTGAAAGTACGAGGGGGTAAAATGATTCTCTGGCAAAGTACGATGGGTAAAGTGGAATTTACCCTTAATATAATGAAGAAATGACTCCATTATATAAGAGAAAATATACTCGTTAGGAGAGTTGGTACCTAGCCTTTACCAATAGGGTAACGGTCTAGTGTTCGAGTCCCCCCTCCCCTACTTCCCCTTGTAATGGACTTGAATTTACTCAAAAAAAAAAAAATATAAGAGAAAATATAGAGACTTCGCCCCGCAAGGGATGACTCTGCGCTTGAAATAAGTGAGCATATGTTAATTGGCCCTAATTCGGATTCCCTTGTCAACGGTTGTTAGGTTGAATTTGTCGCACATGGTTAACCTGGTGTAGTTGACGTCTCCCGTATAGTTTACAAGCTTTTATACGAGAATATAAGTAATTTCTTTAGTGCATCTATATATGATTGGCTGCAGATTTATTCGTTACCCTGAAAAAAGAAAAGAAAAGAATGATAGAGACAAACTAGGTAGAGTAATGATGTTAAATGAAACAGTAGTGTGGAAAATTATATGGAGTAGTAGAAGTATGCTTTTGAGAAAGCAGGAAATATTAATACAAATGGGAACTGTAACGCCTTCTCCTTTATGCATTCATCACAGGCTTTTCTTCTCTATTTCTATTGGGTTTTTTTTATTAGTTATGATTTCGATTTTTGAATACTAGCTTGCTTGCATCTCAACTTTGAATGAATGAACAATATAATATAGGGATATAGTAACTTAGGAATTATTGCTCTTTTTTTATTTATTTTTTTAAAGTAGGAATTTGTTCATAATATATACACATATAGTCCTGAAATATATTAAATTATTATTCCCATTCCTTCCAAAATAATTGTTGTATTAGGTTGTTTTGCATGCATTAAAAAAATTAATAAATATGTGTGAATGATTTTTAGGGAAAATATATGTGACTAAAATATTGAAATTGTAATTAGGGCAAAACTGAAAAAAATGAAAAAAAGTAATTAATGGAT